AAAAAAAAAAAAAAAAAAAAGAAAAAACTGTAAAGTTTGGGATCCATTAGAGGTTGTGCTGAAAATTTTTGACATAAAAAGAACCGTTAATGCAATGGAAAACATTTTCAAATGGTTACAGTCTCTGAGGTAAATTTGTTGAAAATTGCATTCAGCGTTCCAATAAAAACATTATATAAATAGCATTATGTGGGCTAATTATCACAACTGAAAATGGAAGACCTATTTTAAAAAGGTGGAATTATGATAATGGTCCTTTGAAATTTAAGCATTATCTACTCAAAAGCATTGTTAGATCATTTACTAGATTTCCATTTCTGAAGCCAAACACGGGAGTTGGGGGAAAAAAAAGACACCTGAAAAGTACAAACTAATATATTACATCAACAAAAAAAAACAGGCACTTCAGAGTGTTGATGAATTTGGCGCTAATTTAAAACACCAGGCAGTGGAGGTTAATGAATACACCATCCATCCCCTCTCCCATCTCTCTTAGGGCTTCATCTGCAGTGTTTGAGAAGCAGGCGGAGAGACACCCGGGCCAGCACACGAGGCCAACACATTGGGCTGCGTTCAGGCCAAACTGACGCACACACATTGCCTTACGTAATTTGCAGCCTCACTGTAGGCCGGCTGGGGGAGTCAGAGCCGGAGTGAATGGAGCGCTGGTATTGAATCCCTGCTGGATTGCAGTGCCCTACTTAAAGCTAATGACAGAGAGGCCAATCAAACAGCTCTGGGGGACGAGGCCGGCGCTACAGACACTGGACACCAGCTAACTACAGAAAAAAACAGAGAAAGATTCTTTCGGACAGCGTTAACCTTCAGGTCTGAGAGACATTCATCAGCCAGACATCTGAATCATAACATTACGTAAGGCCTTCTGTCAATCATGGGGCCCTTCTGTTCATCTTGATGACAAACGGCTTCTTGTGACACAGTCTAGAAGGTTTTCCGTGCCCCCTTGGACAGCGGACACCACTGGAATCGTGAATGTAATTAGACAATGTCACAGTTAGCATAACTGTTAGTCCGATTAGCATTAAATATGTCAAAAGCACTGTTACAGATGTTGGGTATACGGCTACACGATTTTAGACCCAATTTTCACTCACCAACAGTTTTCTTGAGATCACTGACAAAAGCCCGAAATCAAATCGGTGCTCGTTCACATAAGTGACAATTCACTCGACTAGTAGTATTTTCTTGGGCGTCGGAACCATTGTATGTGGGTGGGACAAGACCCACCCACTTTTTAAGACCAATGATATTGGACCCACTCACTTTTAACATCTGTAATTCAGTACATATGTCTGTTCACTTTTCAGAGCGCCGTCAGTCAAATCCATTCCACTTAAGGAATGCCCTAATAAATTAAACTTCTGCATTTTAGCTACAGCCTTGACTTCCACGCTGCTGCTTCCTCAAATCCATTTCACTTGGTTCATTCAAAATCCATATAAATTAAACTCCATTCCGTGTTTTCACTACTCGTAAACATAGCATCTTAGCATATCTGCTGCTCAGGTGAGTCTGGCTGTGTGCTCACATACTGCCACTAAACAAGCTGGTATTTAAGTGAATGTTCATTGTTTGTTTGCCTGTTGCTCTTAAAGGCATCATGCAGTTTTTGTTGCAGCATTGAACTGCAGTTAGCCTACACTTAAACTTTAAATGTTGTTTTAACGCTAACAGTTGTCTAACGTTTTTGCTAGGCTAGCTACAGTACATAAAATTTTATGTTCAAAACAATTTGCTAGACTTTTGTTGCCGTGTTAATTTTTGGGAAACCTTGCCAGGTATGTCGTAACCATTTTAGGCTATAAAAGCAATTGTTTAATTAAAAGGCACCAGAATACACGAAATGGAATCTACTCCAGTAAAATTTTTCTGGGGGAGGACCCACCAACATTTTTTTCTTTTGCTTCCGAAGCATATGAGTAATTTTATTACATAATCAGAAAGTATTTGTTTCGATTTGAATGGGTTAGATTAAAAGTACACATTTCAAGCTTTCTATAGATATGTTTCTCATGTATGTGAGGCAAGTAGCCTATACACGGAGACCGAGATGGTAGAAAGCGCAACCTGTTTTATTTGTGAGTGACCCTTTACAGTTTCGAATGATGTATTTAGGCCATGATATACTCACAGCGAAGTTCTTTTTCATTCTTCGTTTAGGGGTAATACGAAGTTTGAAATACGTGAGCAGCAGATGTGAGGCAAGTAGCCTATACACTGAGTTTCGGTTCATTTTTGTGACACGCTTCAGCTCACGGAGACCGAGATGGTAGAAAGCGCAACCTGTTTTATTTGTGAGTGACCATTTACAGTTTCGAATGATGTATTTAGGCCATGATATACTCACAGCGAAGTTCTTTTTCGTTCTTCGTTTAGGGGTAATACGAAGTTTGAAATACGTGAGCAGCAGTATACTGTTATCGAACATCCCGGCAGCGCCCGCACTGAAGAGAGCAACGTTTAGATGAACATGTAAATATGTGCTGCAATCTTTCCTCTCAGTAACAAAATAAATACAACGGAAATGAGAGAACAGCAAGCATGTTTTTAAAGAAAGCATAAGAAAAGCATCTGACATGGGTATGTTTGCATGAGAAGTATTCTGTATGAAGAAAGGCGGAGTCTTAGCGCACACAAAAATTGACTATTTTATGTTGTTTCCACTGTTCTCAAGAAAAAATGCAAGTGGTCTCGCCAGCACCTCCATGTTATGCAGTAGTACGCTAATAGCTTCCACATTAGGGTTGTGACAGTCGCCGTTGCCACAGCGGTTGTCTACTGCCACCGACGGTAGTGCACGTGACGTCACATACTTTATAACAAGCATAATACTAAGTCTTGTATACAAATGTAATAACAGTAACAGTTGCAAAGTTTATTCTGCATTCAGCAAATTAATTTTGTATTGGGCGATGGACCTTGTTGTGAAACCAAATACTACATCGCCGATCTGGAGCCATCTCTATTCATGTCACCCATCTGTGTTTGTACAAGTGTCTTCAAGTTCCTGTGATCGCAAACGCCTGGCTGGTCAGGTTTGGTGAGGCTTTCTCCAAACTGGCCAAATACAAACGAGACAGCGATAAATGGAAGATGTTAACAAGATAAGTGGCAACGATTCCTATTTCAAAGAGAGCGCGTGCAGACGAGGAGTAAATGCACCCGCTTGCTTGACGGCGGAACAGTGAACCGTATCTACACCGGACACGACACTGCCGCGTCGCAACAGGTTTAGTCTGTCTAGTGTCTACACAGGACATTTGAACTCTGTGACAGTACCTCATAAACAGGACGAGGCAGTTTACTGTCGGGGATTTGTCATGTCGTGTC